AACATTCATCTACAAGTTTTTGTGTGGACATAGGTTTTTGTTTCTCTTGGATATATATCTAGAGCTGGAATTATGGATCATGTGGTAACTCTGTGTTTAACCATTTGAGGATCTGCCAGATTGTTTTCCAAAGCAATTGTACTATTTTACTACATTTCTACTAGCAATGTATGAGGGTTCCAGTTTCTCCTGGTTATTCTCTGTTTTTTTTCTTCTCTTCTTAGAGAGAGGAAGGGAGAGGGAGAGACAGACAGACAGACAAACATCAGTGTGAGAGAGAAACATCCATCTGTTGCCTCCCGTAATGCATCCTGACTGGGGATTGAACCTGCCTCCTGGCTCTGTGCCCTGACCAGGAATCTAACCCGCCACCTTTTGGTGCACAGGATGATGCTCCAACCGAACCACACCAGCCAGTACTTGTCTCTCTTTTTGATTATAGCCATCCTAGTGGGTATGCAGTGTTATCTCATTATGGTAAATATGTATAACATAAAATTTATTGTTTTAACCAATTTTAAGTGTACTGTTTGGTGGCATTAAGTACATTCACATTCTTATGTAACCATCACCATCATCTGTTTTCAGAAGATTTTTCTCTTTCTAAACTGAAAATCTTTACCTGTTAAACAATAACCCCCCATTCCTACCTAGCGGTTTTGACTTGCATTTCCTGGGTGGGAAGTGATGTCGAGCATCTTTTCATGTGCTTATCGCCATTTCTATACCTTCATTAGAGAAGTGAGTATTCAGATATTTTGCCTGTTTGTAAATGATTTATTGTTTTTGTATTACTGAGTTGTAGGAGTTCTTTATATATTCTAGATGCAAGTCCCTTGTCAGATTTATGACTTGCAAAAATGTTCTCTTATTTTCTGTGTTGTCTTGTGACTTTCTTGGTGGTACCCTTTGATGCACCATGAGGTTTTAACTTTGACGATGTCTAGTTTATCTTTTTGTTTGTTGTTGCTCATTGTTTTGGTGTAATATATAAGAAACCATTGTCTACTCCAGGCATCATCTAGATTTATGGCTGTTTTCTTCTAAGAATTTTATAGTTTTAGCTTAACCTCAACTTCTTCACCTTTAACTGTTTTTAGTACATGTTATTTTGAGTCTTCTCTAGGGACAGTGCTGCTTATTCAGTCCATGCGCTGCCAGACTGGGAGCAGTGTTCCCTTTGGGCTATTATGTCTCCAACTGCATATGGAAACATCATTGAATTATCTCATAACTTATTCCTTTTATTCTCTGTCTTCTATCCTCAATGGATAATTTAATCTTTCACCCAAAGTCACTGGGTAATTTGACCAGCTCTTCCTTTCCCTACCCATGTCTCTAATGTCATGGGCAGGCTAAATATCCTTATGTAATGTCTCACCAACACTGTAACCTCTCACTTCCTTCTCAGCTCTAGTGCTTTCACCATTCTGTTCCAGCAACTTGTTCTCATGACCTCGCTAGTCTTCAAAAATAGTAAATGCCTGTGTCTATACTCTGATGATCATCTCCTATACTCCTCTCTTCCTTTCCTCTTGCCTCCCTCCTTCCCTCTTCCATTCTTCCCTTCATTTTTTCCTTGCTTTCCCCAACCTTCAGCCACTTCATTTCTCACTTCTGTCTCTACTCTTCTCTCTAACCTATTCTCCAAGCTTCATCTTATCCAAAATGCCTAATTTCTTTTCTTCTATATCCTTCAAGTCCATCCTATAAATCAGTGTTATTTCCCCAGCCCTTTGAAATATCCTGGTTAGATGTTCAATAAATGATGAGTGAATGAATGACTGAATGCTGGAATGAACAAATCTTGCATCAATCCATTTATCTAACTGTTTAGTTCCTACACAAGAATTGCTGGGCCCTAAGAAAAATTATAGCTGTACATGGAGTTGTTAAAAATTCATCGTCTCTAATTTCAACTGGTATCTCAATACTGTCTGGCTATTTTTATGTGTCCCTAGTTATCACTTTTTAAACAGGTGTTAACTTTCAACAGGTACTTTAAAACATTCAGTTTGTTCTTACTTAACAATATGCTTTCTCGCTCCTAGCAGATGATCTTGGTTTTTACTCTACGGAGACAGTTGAAGCCAATAGGTGGGGAACTTGGTTGGCATTCTCTGTGACTTCAGCAAGAGTACTTAGCATCTATTCCCATGCTTTTCTTCTAACCCGCTGTTTCAGAAGATGGTGACTTGACCCCTCTTCCATGCTGGGCTTGTGTCCCTACCTGTGTTTTGGATCTTACCCCCTCTACCTCCTGAAGTTATTTGTTCCATCAATTATTTCTTCTATCTTCAACTACTTTTTCTTTACTGCCTTTCTCCCCTCAGCATATACCCCCCCAATAAATACATAAATAAATAAATAATAAAACAGCAAACAAACAAACGAACAAATAAATAAAAGAGTTAAGTATGTTAACCTAAACCAAAACATATATACACTCAATTTCTTCTAGCTTCCAGGAGTCCTCTTTCTCCTTCCCCGTCTACCCAGCATTTTGAAATATAATCTATATTAGCTGTTACCATTTTCTTTATTTGTTTTTCTCTTTCAATTACAGATGAATATGATATTATATTAGTTTCAGGTGTACAGCATACTGATTATACATTTATGTAATTTAGGAAGTGATCACGCCACCATTTTCTTATTTAAGATTCATTGCTAGTGAATTCCCAGCTTCCCCTCAGTCCCTTGACCCCCTCCCTGGTAAATCAGGCATACCTACTTTAGTCTTTATGTTGTTATCTTTGTAGCTATTGACACTGTTGGCTACTTCCTCCTCTTTGAACTTTTTGTTCTCCTGGCTTTGATCACATTCTTTAAGGGAACACATGGACTCTCCGTGGTTCCAGGTAGACACATCTCCAGTTAGGCAGGTTTGTTTGGGACTAAAGATCCTACATTCTCTGAGATTTACTTTCCCTTTGGCAGTTTCCCAATAATTATTGCTACTGCAAACACATGCTGCTCTAAGTGGTCAGAAACAGAGCTGGATTCAAGTGTGTTCTCACAAGCCTTGCCGTATTTCCTAGAAGACACTGAGGCAAAGGAATATTTTAAAGAGATTTGCCATTGCATTTCATATAAAATGTTTTTTTAAAACACTCTTTTTTGGTCTCCGTTTAGGTGTTGCAGCATTGTTGTATAGTGAAGATTAGAAATAACATAAAGGCCCAATAATAGGGGACTGGATTAATGTGTGTTATGCTATATCTGTACGTGAGATACTGGGCAGTAGTAAAATGATTGAAGTAGGCCTGTATGTACTGATGATGTATAGAAAACAAATCAATTACAGGTCTTTTTTATATATCATTTATCTATGTCTCATAATTTGGAAAAAAAAAAAAGAAGGAAAAGAAAAAACTACAGAACAGAACTGTATTAGACCCCCTTACGCACAGTTTTGCTTTTTGCAGTTTCAGTTACCTGTGGTCAAGCACAGTCTGAATATTAAAAAGAAATTTCCAGAAATAAACAGTTCATAAGTTTTAAATTGTGTGGTGCTCTAAGTAGCTTGAAGAAATCTTGTGCTGTCCTGCGCTATTTCACTTTGTGTCTTCTGGGATGTGGATCATCCCTTTGTCCAGTGTATCCATGCTGTATGTGCTACCCACCTACTAGTCACTTAGTAGCTATCTCTTTTATCAGATTGGTTATTAGAGAGAGACCACATTTACATAACTATTATTATCAGTACATTGTTATAATTGCTCTATTTTATTACTGGTTATTGTTGTTAATCTCTTACCGTGCCTAATTTATAAATTAAACCTTATTACAGGTATATGTGTATAGGAAAAAATATATATATATAGGATTTATTATTTGTGATTTCAGGTATTTACTAGGGGATCTTGGAATATATATATACACACACACACCCCTCATGGATAAGGGGGGAACTACTCTATACGGGGTGGGGCAAAAGTAGGTTTACAGTTGTTCATATGGAAAAATAATACAATTAATAAATAATAATACAAGAATTAACTCTTTCATGTACTCATAATTGTAAACCTACTTTTGCCCTGCCCTGTATATAAATGTTTAGCGCTGGAAAATGTCTTGCTATCTACTCATTAGACTATCCTGAGTGATTTCATCTGAGGAGGGGAAATGGGAGGATGTTATGGGCTACTTTATTTCTGCTTTGTATTTCTATTTTGTTTGAATGTGTTCGGTGAACATGTATTCTGTAATAAAACAATGATGAACTGAATATTAACTTATGATCTATTCTTAGTTAAATCTCTCTATTCCTTTAACTTCTTAGACTCCAGTCTTTGCTTTTTCCATTTTCCTCCTAAACTCCAGCCACTCTAACTCAGTTTCTCTAGTGGGCGTCTTCTGATCTAATCCTGTTTATCCCTCCAGAAGCATTCCTACATCCCTCGGTCAGATGTTATTACCTTTCCTCTGTGATCTCCTGATACCCTGGGAAATCTTCTTAGTCACTGGTATCTGGGGCAGGAGCTGTTATTATATGACTTTGTAGTCCATGGACCTGAGCATAGTACCCAGCACAGGGTAGAAATTCATTAAAAGGGGTTTCAGTGTTAAACTAATAAAGCAGAGAATTTGGGGCAGATCCCCTTAATATCAGCATGTCCTTTTGTGTAGGTTGTCATTTTCTGCCATTTTTCTTGAGGCTCTGTGCGAAGATACATGTTTTAATTAAACTTCAGTTTATATCTCAGGACTTTTTGAGTTTATGTTGAGCTCTTCTAACAACTCCAGGAAGTTTATTTAAATGTAATATGATTTCTTTAACTGTCCCTAGAGGACAGGAGAGTGATCATTTCATGCTTCATTGTAACTTTAAACATTAATACAGAATATTTTTTATAATATCTCCAAATGCATTAATTAAAGAAAACCTGCATTTGTGTGCTTAGAAAATGTGTCACATTGACTCAAGCAGAAGGATAAACAAGTTAATATTTCTTCTCTGTGTAAATTGCTTGTCTAACAGTTTGTTTTCTTTTTAGGTTCAACAAATAGATCGTGTAGTAGAAGTTGTGGAGGAAACAATTAAAGGTAATTCTTGAAAGTGCGATAAGCAGAGGTATATATTGTATATAAAACTTCCTGAAGGAGACTAACCTGGACGGTGGACTGGGCTGGAGCCCTGCTACTCTCATTGTGCTCCAAGCAGGATGGTCAGTCACATCTCCCGTTGTTTCCATCTTCTTAGCTATTTCCTTATTTTTTACTGTTCTCTTTTTAGACAAATTAAAAAAAGAGTCATCCACCATGGCTGTCTCCTGTTCCAAAAGTTGCAATGGTTTTTTTGGCTTTAAACCATCTGAGGTATACATTTAATACCACGTAGTTAACATTTATTGAGCATCTTTATGAAAATTTTTTTTTAGATACAAAATTATAAAATTTTGTCCCTGACTGCTTCATGCATTGACTGATGGATAAGAGGCATATCTTTGATTAGCTCTACCCTAGCTGAGAGTCACTGCCTTCATGATTGAGCTTGTTAAAGCCAGTGCTTCAGGGTGTTTGAGCATATTGTTGCCTTGCTTTTCTTCTGTTTGAGTACTAGGCACATACTGTCCACTCAGAAATTTTTTAAAGGAGTTAATGGTAATGAAGGTAACACAGGAGAAAAATCTAGGTGACCTTGGCTAAGGCAGTGACTTTTTAGATGCAACGCCCAAGGCATGATCCATGAAAGAAAGAATTGATAAGTTGGACTTCATTAAATTAAAAAACTTCTGCTTTGCAAAAGATACTCTTAATGCCTGACCAGGCATGGCTCAGCGGTTGAGCACCGACCTGGGATCCAGGTGATCAGGGTTCCATTGCCGGTCAGGGCACATGCCTGGGTTGCGGGCTTGATACCTGGTTGGCAGTGTGCAGGAGGCACCTGATCAATGGCTCTCTCATCATTGATGTTTCTATCTCTCTCTCCCTCTCCTTTCCTCTCTCTGAAATTAATAAAGATATATTATAAAAAAAAATACTCTTAAGAAAATGAGAAGGCAAGTCACCAACTGGGAGAAAAATATTTGGAAAAGACATGTTTGATAAAGTACTCTTACCCAAAATGTACGAAGAATTCTTAAAATTCAATAATAAAATAAACAACCCAATTTATAAAATGGGCCAGTGCCAAGAGATGGAGACAACCAAGGTATCCTGAGAAAGAGGACTGGGTAAAGAAGATGTGGGACATACACACAATGGAATCCTACTTGGCCATAAGAAAGGATGAAAGACTGCCATTTGCAACAACACAGATAGACCTTGAGAATATTATGCTAAATGGAATAAGTCAGTCAGAAAAAAGCTAAGAACCATATGATTTCACTTATATGTGGGATATAAAACTGAAATTTGTGGACACAAACAGCAGTGTGGTGGTTTCTAGGGGAAAGGAGGTGTGGAGTGAAGGGGGCCTAATATATGAGTGACGGGAGAAGATTTGACTCGGGGTGGTGGGGACACTGAACAGTATACAGATCTTGTAACATAGTAACCCACACCTGAAACCTATAGATCATAGTAATCAATATCATCCCAATAAATTTAATTTTAAAAAGCAGGAAAAAAAAGCTGAATAAATTCATAGAAAAAAAAGGGCCAATGACCTGAACAGAAACTTCACAAAAGAACATATACAAATGGCAAATAAGCATATGAAAAGGTGCTCAGCATTCTATGTCATTAGTCAGTTGGAAGTTGAAACAACAGTGAGCTACCGCTGCCCACATATTAGAATGGCCAAAATCTGAAACACTGACAATACCAAATGCTGACAAGAATGTGGAGCAACAGGAACTGTCATTCATTGCTGGTGGAAGTACAAAACAGTTTGGCAGGTTCTTACAAAACTAAACGTACTGTTTCCATATGATCCAGCAGTTGCACTCCTTGGTATTTGTCCAACGGAGTTGAAAACTTATGCCCACACAAAAACCTGCACATGATGTTTATAGCAGCTTTATTCATAATTGCAAAAACTTGGAAGCAACCAAAATGTCCTTCAGTGACTGGAGAAAAACACTCTGGTACACCTAGATGGTGGAATGCTATTTAGTGCTGACAAGAACTGAACTATGAACCCATGAAAAGATGTGGAGGAAACCTACAAGTAAATTATGAAGTGAAAGAAGTCAATCTGGAAAGGCTACATACTCTGTGACTCCAAATAACATTCTGGAAAAGGTAAAACTATGGAAATAGTAAGAATGTCAATGGGTCATCAATGTTTGTTGGGTGCCGGGGTAGAGAGCGATGAATAGCAGGAGTACAGAGGATTGTTTTAGGGCAGTGATACTATTCTGTCTGATACTCTAATGGTAGGTACATGTCATTATACATTTGTCCAGACCCATAGAATATATACCACAATGAGTGAATGGTGATGTGAACTGTGGAGTTTGGGTGATGATGACTTATTGGTGTAGGTTCCTTGATTGTAACAAATATACCACTCTGGTGGGGGGCATTGATAATGGGAGGGCTGTGTGTGTGTGGTGGGGGCAAAAGGATATATGGCAACTCTTTATTTTTTGCTTAATTTTGCTGTGAACCTAAAGCTGCTCTAGAAAATAGTTTATTAAAAAACAATGAATAGTAAATAACATTGTGCTCAGGAGGCTGCCAAATGGCTTGCAGAGATATAATTTCTATAGGAAATCATAGAAGTTAAGGTAAACTATGTTTTTTTATCCTCACAACACTTCTGATGCCAAATGTATAAGTTTTCTACGCCAAGCAATTCTGACACTAGCTACTACCCAGTCAGTGCAGATGTCATAGGCTAAGGCCTCTGTCGTACAAGGCTGCCCACCACTTCAGATGTCAATTACAAGTCCAGATTGTCACCTATATTTCTGGCAGATCAAGTGTAAATTGAATTCCTATGGTTCCTTCCTCAGATTTGATAGTTTGCTAGAACAGCTCACAGAATTTAGGAAAGTCTTTTACTTACTATTACTGGTTTATTATAAAGAAGACAAGTCAGGAACATCCAAATGAAGAAATGCATAGGGCAGGGTATGTGGACAGGAATGCAGAGCTTCCATGCTCTCTGGGTGCACCACCCTCCCAGCAGCCCAGTGCTTTTACCAACTTTTATTTTTTTTGTTAATCCTCACCCGAGAATATTTTTTCTATCGATTTTTAGAGCAAGTAGAAGGGAGAGAGACAGAGAGACAGAGAGAAAAATGTCAAAGTGAGAGAGACACATCAATTGGTTGCCTTCTGCATGCACCCTGACTGGGCCGGGGGTTGAACCTACAACCCAGCTATGTGCTCTTGACCGCGAATCGAACCTATAACCCTTCAGTGCACAGGCTGACACTCTAGCTATTGAGTCACACAGGCCAGGGCACTTTTACCAACTTGGAAGCTTCCAAAGTCCATCATTTAGAGTTTTTCTAGAAGCTTCATTATATAGACATGATTGATTAAATCATTGGCCATTGGTGATTTAACATAATGTCCAGCCCCTCTCCCCTCCCTGGAGGTGGGGGTGTGTGTGGCTAAAAGTTCCAACCTTCTTAACATATGGTTTGCTCCTCTGGTTACCACCCCCATCCTCCAAGAATTTCCTCATTAGCATAAACTCAGATATGGTTGAATGCGGCTTATGAACAACAAAAATGCTCCACTCACCCCATCACTCAGGAAATTGTGAGTTTTAGGAACTCTATCCGGAATCAAGGATGGCAACTGCACATATGTTTTTTATTATATCACAGTATCACAGAAGGCTTATTACCTCCATTGTTGGGTTAATTAGCGATGGCTTCTCACTGAGGAGTTTGGGCTTGAGTGGATTTATTGGAGAAATTGAAGTTGGGTTTAATTGTAGGAGTCTACAGCAAGAGTTGAGTTGAAGATGAAGTTGATGGGGGATGTTCATTGGCAGGTCTAGTTTGAGGGTAGGAAGGCTGGTGAATTAAGTCTCAGTAATACAATGAGAGAATTTTAGAGATGAAAGAAGTAATTTTGTAGGTGTCCTTAATTTTCAGATGAGGAAGCTGAGGTAGGCAGGAGTTAAATGACTCATCTGAGACCTACTGGTTAATAGAGAACACCGCCTCTCATTGAACTTCTGTTCTTTACTTTCTACTTCTATTGCTTATATTTCACCTAGACAGCACAAGTTAGTGAAATAAGGTATCCTTTAGCATGCAACCAGTTGTTTGTTGTCTTTCAACATACTACTTTCTGAGGCTCAATTTTCTCAGTTTAAAATGGAGAGAATTAATGGGTACTACTTTTGAGGTACCCAGAATACAACTTCTATTAATGTTTATTTCTTACTATCTCTTTAATACCTAGACTACTGGAATAACCTGACTTTTGCTACCAGTGACTCTCTTTTCAACCTGACTGTATATAGTGCTACCATTATCCTCAAATTATTTTACTCTCCTTCATAGGTCTTCCAGTGGTTGCCGGTTACTCACCACATTAATCGAGGACTTCTTAGTGTGATCTTAAATACCTCCTACTGCATCCTGCCGTCTCCACTTTTTCTTCCATCAGTTTCATACGTACAGCTTTTGCCCCCATCTACTGTCCATTTGTTGTTCCGTTATTTGCACTTTGCTTCCTGTTCATCTTAGGGTCCCTCACAGAAGTGGATGTGGTCTGTTTGCCCCTCCAGATTGATTCTGCCCCCTTCTCCACCTGCTGCCTGCCCTGGGGCTGACCTGTGTAGACTGCATCAGTAGGTCCTCACTGTCTGGCACCTGATTGGGTTTAGCTCACTGGAGGTTGGAGATGTGACCAGAGCAGGAGACAGGAGTGTTTATTCCTTCTCACCCCTCCCTCCCTGCTCTCCCCTGTTGGTTGCTTCTCTCACCCATGGGCCACAGCTTCCGTCAGGTGGCTCCCTCTACTCATCTGTCTATCCAGGTTCCCGTAACTCTTCCCTCCCTTTGATTTTGCAGGCCCAGGAATAGAAACAGCACTGCATTGTTGCTCACCTTAGAGTACCACATTGTCTCTGCTTGGTTTTGCTAACCTTGCCAAACTTTAGTCAATAGTCCCTTTATTAAAATCTCTTC